CTAGGTTCCCGAGGGCGTTTCTCTAGACAGATTGGGTGTTGGGGAGGGCTTGCTTTCACTTCCTGCCAGGACAGCTCATTGCCCTCTTCTGTCAGTTTTGCCCCCAAATGCTACAGAGGAGTCACCAACAACAAGCATCCTCTTTGGGAGTGAGACAGAGTCAGGGACACAAGGTGCAAATGTCACTGGTGAGACCAGTCCAGCCGTCCCTGGTGGGACAGGCCCAGCTTCCCCAACGGTCCAGGGTGAGACGGGCCCAGGGGTTCAGGGTGAGACAGCCCCACTCCAGGGTGAGACGGGCCCAACAGAACAGGGTGAGATGGGCCCAAACCAGGAAGATACGGGCTCAACAGAACAGGGTGAGACTGCCCCACTCCAGAATGGTATGGGGTCACTGGCCCAAGGTGAGACGGCCCCTCAAGTCCAGGGTGAGACGGCCCCACTCCAGGGTGAGATGACATCTCCAGACCTGGGTGAGACGGCTCCAGTTGAGGCTGAGACAGCTCCACTTGAGGCTGAGACAGCCCCACTTCAGGGTGAGACGACCCAGCCGGCCCAGGGTGAGACGACCCAGTCGGCCCAGGGTGAGACGACCCAGCCGGCCGAGAGTGAGACGACCCAGCTGGCCCAGGGTGAGACGACCCAGCTGGCCCAGGGTGAGACGACCGAGCCATTCCAGGTGGAGACTGCCCCACTGCAGGGTGAGATGGCTCCAGGTGAAGGTGAGATGGCCTCCCAGTTCCAGGGTGAGACAAACCAGGTTGAAACAGCACCACTGGAGGAGGAGACAGCCCCGCCATTCCAGGGAGAGACTGCCCCACTGCAGGGTGAGATGGCTCCAGGTGAAGGTGAGTCGGCCTCCGAGGTCCAGGGTGAGGCAGCTCCACCAAACCAGGATGAAATGGCACCATTCGAAGAGGAGACAGAACTAGGTGATTTTGAAATGGGCCAACCACTCCAGAATGAGATGGCCCCAGGACAGGGTGAGATGACTCCCTCAGAACAGGTGGAGACTGCCCCACTGCAGGGTGAGATGACTCCCCCAGGCCAGGGTGAAACTGCCCAGTTCCAAGGTGAGATGGCCACACCAGTCCAGGGTGAGACATCTGCAGCTCAGGGTGAGACTACCTCACCAATCCAGGCCGGGATGGCCCAACTCCAGAATGGGGCAGCCCTAGTCCAAGATGAGACAGCCCCATTCCTGGGAGAGACGGCCGCACTTGTAGGTGACATGGCTCCACTTGAGGAGACCTCAGTACGCCCGAATCCAGGAGAATTGGAGTCTTCGACCACGAACCAACAGCCTGAGCAGGCCAAGGGTGTGCAGCAAGGCCAAAACCTTGGGCTGATCATCGCTTTACCTCTACTCCTGATACTAGGCCTTATTCTTTGGTGAGTCACTGCAGAGAGTGGCAGGACCTGGAGGGAGAGGTGGGGCTTCCTACTGCCCAATACTGGAGCAGTTGGCAGAGCCACTGAGGTTTCCCGAGAGCTGGTGGGAATTACAGCGTGGGGGGCTTACCTAGGAGGGCCAGGCTTTGAGAGTTGTTTGAATAGGTCAGCTCTGTGGGGCTGGGAGTTGGGGAGTGGGTCCCAACTGCTTTCTACTTAACATGGTTCCATGATTTGCAAATCTCAACCCATTCAATTTCCCTCAGGATAATTTACTGGCGACAATCAAAAGAGAAACCCAAGACCTCAGATGAGAGCCTTGAAAATACAGCTTCTTAGCCGTCAAAGACAATGGCCTCAAAAGAGAAAAATAATTAAATATATGTCTTGTTATCTAAGTATTTGACTCAATCCTCTTGACTGAATAATACCTTGGGTTCCCCCAGAGGACAGATCAGGAGATGGGCTCCTGCCTCAGGGAGGAGGGTGAGGAACATGGCACCACTGAGGTCTGGTGGAGGGGACAGCAGACTGTGATATAATTCCAGAACCAAGAAACAGGCCAGGGCCAGGCCTACCTAGATCTCCTGCCCCAGGCCTGGTCTTCTCAGGACACCCCCTCCCACCTCTTCCTTGGGTTTCCTCTTGCCTTTTAATGTCTGCCGCACAGTGCTGGGGGCTGGGTCAGAGGCACAGGCTTTTCTAAAGGGATCAGGAACTAACCCAGGACATCAGAGCCAGGCCCTCTGGGTGCTGCCCGACCTGCAACAGGTAAGAGCCAGGTAAGACTCCTGGGTCCCACTGCAGCCATCAGTCCTCCTGGGCCTGTAGTCCAGGGCCCATCCTTCTCCCCAGATGCCCCTCCATCTCCCAGATGTCCCTCTGCCTCATTCCTCTAACCCCAGCCCATTTGGGATGTATATCCACCTTCCCTTAGGGCCAGGCTATCTGGTGTATTGAGGGAGGGTGGAAGCACCCCACCCCCTTTGGAAAGCTCCCTCTCCTGTGTGCCTGTGGATCCATCCTCCCCACCAAGCCCCGGGCCACAGGCCCATCCTGCCTCTGTCATGTGAGTAGCCACAAAGTGGTCCACCTGCCCCTGGCCCACCTGCCTTCCATCTGTCTCTGGTTTGGGCTCAGCCCCATGCATTGCTTCTTGTCAGGGACCCTGAGAGACCTGTCTCCTGTTCCAGTCTTGAATGGGCCATGGAGCCTGGGTGATGAGAGCAGGAAGTCAGATACTGGTTTACCTGGGCCCAGGGGGGGGAGAGGTGGGCTTAGGCACTGGTGTGGGCCACACTGCCGGTTGTGATTCGCCTTCCTTCCTCCCCTCCTTGCTCATCTCATGGAAATGGCTTTTGTGGGATTGGCCTTTGTTTATTTAATGAACTCTCTTTCCTTGGACCTTTACTCACCACCCATCTTGGTCATCCCTAGATCTCTATCTTTCCTGTGTGTCTCTCTCTTGGGGTCTTTTTGTGCTTCTCACCTCCTCGGCCCAAATTCTGGAGTCTGCTTGCCCCTCTGGATGACTCTCCTGTGTATCTGTTCATAGGTGGCTCTCAGATCTTCTTCCAACACTGGGAACTGCATCAGCGAGGCACTGCCACTACCCCCGCTAGACGTGGAACTGTGGCGAGTGGGCGCCGTGAAGGCAATGTGGGGAGCTTCAGGGAACAGCGCCAAGCACATCTCTCAGCTCTAACAGTACTCAGGGACTAGGACAACAGGGACTGGGGTGGGGGCAGCGCTGGGCCAGAGTGAAGCTGCTGGAGCTGCAATGGGCGTGGCCCCGGAGCCCCCACGGGCATCCTGCGCCACTGCGCCCCCGGGAGTCCTAAAGATCTTTGGCAGGTGCTTGACGTCGAGTGCCAACTACAAGAGGGTGCTGGCCACGGCGCGCTCCACAGCGCGGGAGCTGGTGGCTGGAGCGCTGGAGCGCTAGGGGCAGCGGCGTGGACGCCTTCGCGCTGTGCGACGCGCTGGGCCGACCAGCCACCGCCGGCATGAGCAGCGGCGAGTGGCAGGCGGAGCACCTGCGCGTGCTGGGCGACTCGGAGCGCCCACTGCTGGTGCAGGAGCTGTGGCGGGCGCGGCCCGGCTGGGCGCGGCGATTCGAGCTGCGCGGCCGCGAGGAGGCGCGCCGCCTGGAGCAGGAGGCCTTCGGGGCCGCGGACAGCGACGGTGAGCCAGCGCGCGGACCTGGGGGGCTGCACAGGGGTTGGGGCCGCCGGACAGGGTTTGGGACCCCCGGGGCCCACAGAGCCAAAGAGGAGCAGCCAGCAAAGACCCGATTGGCGCCGGCTGTGGGCGTGGCTCTGGGGCAGCTCTGGGGCGTGGGCGGGCCAAGCGAGGAGCGAGCTGTGAGGTGATTGGTGGAGGATCCGGTCGGGGCGGCCGGGGCGGGGACTTAGACTGGGAGAAGGCGGGGCTGCAGCATCTGAGCGCTGGGCGGGACCTGCTCTTTCCCAGCGCCTACCGAGTGGAGCTTGGATTCGCGTGGGGCGTGGCCCGGCTGGTGGCAGTGGTTGGAGGTGTCCCAGAGTGTCTCTGGATGGAGTCAGGGCCCTTAGGAGGCATTCCAGGCTGCCTTGCAGGAGGCTGAATGTGTAGGTGGCCAAAGCAGTGGTAGCTCCCCAGCGGGGTGTCGGTGGTTCTGGCAGCTCAGCAGCCTGTGGGAAGCGCCAGAGCCTAGCGAATTCCCAGGGATTCGGCCAGTGTTAGGGGGAAATCCAAGTTGGAGAGAACTAGGAGAGGAGGAACAGGCCAGGACAATGTGCTGGAGGCTGTGCAGAGCCGTGGGTGGGCCTGCGGGGCCAGGGCGGAGTCTGAGGAACTGAGTAGGCCTGAGCCTGAGGTGTTGGGCCTGGTGAGGTGTGGTGGCACCTGCTGTGGGTCTGTGTGGCAGGAGGCAGCTCTGGGAACTAGGCTGAGGCGGTTCTTGAGGGTCAGGGCCTAAGTGGGCAGAGACTAGGAGGGCGAAGAACCTGTGTTTTGGGGGGCAGGCCTTGAATTAGGTGGCCTTAGGCTGGGTTGGCTGCCAGTATGGGCACAGGGGAAAGGAAGGGACTAGAGGTAGAGGCCAAGGAAGGTTTTGTTACATGGGGCCTGAAGCAGCAGACAACCTCAAGGGTAAAATAGCATGTACCATAGGGATCCTGGCAGGCGTGCAGCCATGTTCACTGAGGGACAGGATGCTCAGGTCTTGTAGTCTCAGCCTCTCCCTCCCCTACCTACCCCCCTCCTAATGGTGACCACAGAAGAACCGGGTCCAGGGGCAGTGCTGGGCAGTTCTACTAGTCCTGGGTCAGGATCAGGGGCCCCTATTGTGTCTCCTTCAAGGAGAGTTAGGAAAACTTTTCCTTATGGTACAGCTTGTTGGAGCTGAGCCTTCAGGGTCAGAGGAGGCGGCAGCAGGTACACAATTAGCAGGACCTTACCGTGCCCCCAGGGGCAGCTGATGCCCAAATAGTACCTGCAGTCCCAAGGGATTAGATCAGTTGACTCAGTGCCTCATCCAGGCCCCCAGCAATCGCCCCTACTTTCTACTGCCCCAGCGCTATCAGGATGCCCAGGTGAGCATTGCCTCCCCAACTACCCAGAGCCCTATGTCCCCCCTGTCATTGGAGAGTGATAAACCTGTAGTTCTCAGAATTCCTCTGGTTGAGGTAGCCTCAGGTCCTCTGGTAGGCAAGAGCGCAGCCAGGTTGTAGAGAGTGAGTGTGGAGGAGGCAGAGGGGAGATGGCTGACAAGATTACACTGGAGGCACAAACAGGGCATGGTCCTGTCACTGAAAGTGGAGGGCAAGCTGTGTCTTTTCAAAGGAGAGTCCACTGCAGGAAGGAGACCCCGTGCGGACATCATTTCTTGAGGGAGGGTGACAGGAGAGTGCATGTGCTGGGGCAGGGACGTTCTTGGCTGGTGTCTGGGGACTTAATGTAGAAAAGCCTGTATTTCTTTGGTGGGGGAGTGGATGAACCCATTTGTAAAAGGTGATGGTTTTCACTGGGACGTTTGTCCACTGTGGATGTAGGCAGGGGGTGCTGGCACTTGTGTGCATTTACACATTTGGGGGACAATGGGAGAACTTGAGTGTTAGGCTTATTTTATATGTATTTTTAATTTTTTTTAGTTCTACATGGACACAATAAATTTATTTTATTTGTTTATTTTTTTAAAGAGAGAGAGAATGGGAATTTTTAATATTTATTTTTTAGTTTTCAGTGGACACAACATCTTTATTTTATTTTTATGTAGTGCTGAGGATTGAACCCAGCGGCCTGTGCATGCCAGGCGAGCACGCTACCACTTGAGCCACATCCCCAGCCCTATTTGCTTATTTTTATTTGGTGCTGAGGATCACACATGCTAGTCTACCACTGAGCCATAACCTGAACCCTCTTATTGATGTATTTTTTTATTTTACTTTATTTTCAGTTTTCATTGGTCCATTATAGTTGTACATATGGGTGGAATTCGTTGTTACATATTCATACATGCATACAGTCTTAGGTTTATTTTAGAAAGGGGCACACTGCTTGCACTTTTACATAATGGGGATGAAAGGATAATTTTGAGAAGGTCTCTGTTGATGTTCTCGGTGAGTCTTTGGAGTCCTACTATACGTGAGTGGGGGCCATAGAGGAGTCCATTTCTGGAGTAAGTTTCCTTGTCAAGGGATGGGAATAAGAGAATATGTTGTAGAAAGGGGTCACCTAGCAAATGCACCTTCATGGGGCCTAGATAATGGAAGAACCTTTGTTTAAGGGTTTTTAAAAAAGATCACATTCCTTTAGGATAAGAGAATATTAGTTGAGGGGAAACATATTTAAGGCTTCATCACTTAATATTATTCCATTATTATTGGAATATTCCATTATTATTAGAATAATGAACAAGGGTCCGAGATATGGAAATGGTGATTTCCTTTGAGAGGTTCATTCATTGAGGATATGGTTAAGGGGACAATCCATTACTGCAGGGACTGTCTGCATTATTTTTTAGTATAAATATTAATGTAGATGAATATATACATGAATAGCTTAAAGCTGTTCCCACTTTAGTATTTAGAAAACACAGATAAGAGTTGGAGTTGTGGCTCAGTGGTAGAGCACTTGACTGGCATGTGTGAGGCACTCAGTTCAGTTCTCAACACCACATATAAATGAATAAACTAAAAGTCCATCAACAACTTGAAAAATATTTTTAAAAAATAGAAAACACAGATAAGCAGAAGCCTCTGTATTTAATCAAGTATGTTTCACATTTGGGCTTTGTATTAATGAAAGTGTAATAATCAACACTTTGTATTCAGTAAAGAGTCTATCAAAATATCATAGCTTTAATTTAGTAGTAGTAGATTAGTTGTATTTATCCTAAAGATATCTTTCAGCATTAGCTAGCTTCAGGTGATCTATTACCTAGTTACAGCTGAGTCATCTGTTATGACATCAGATGAGCAAATGGCATTGGTACATATGGATGAAGGACTTGGAATTTCACAACAGCTCTCCTTTAGTGTGGATTAGGGAAGGTGGTTCTCCCCATGGAAGCTGTCCTGGATCCAGGTCTCAGGGATAGGGAGAAACACTTCATTTTGTAGGCAGTGTATCCTGCACCCAACAAGGGAATTAGAACCTGTATCTTCCATCCCGGGACGGGAGTAGGTCCCTGATTCCTTCACTGTCGGGAGCTGTCTTGATGCTCCAAGGCACTGATCAATTATTGCCCTCCCGCAGTAACTTGGGCTTTACCTCCACTGGGATATGAGGCTGGCTCCAGGAGTAGGCGTCACCTGGTGAGGTTGAGCTACACTCACCTGTTCCTTTGTGATCCTATCCCTTTGCCCTTTTTGAGATAGAATATTCCATGGAACCTCCCCTTGTGTGTCCCCTATATAAGAATAAAGAATTCCAGTAGCTTGCTCTCTTTCCAATGGACCCTTAAATTTGCAGAGTTGTCCCTGGATTATTGAAAAGATACTTCTGTGTGTTTTTGTGCTTTCTTTGTCGTTTTCTTAAGTTATTGGAATAGTCAGATTTTGTGAACCCAGCACTAGGTTGCCAGCTAGGATAGATGGCAATACTTTACCCCACAAGGGGAATAGATCCCCATGATCTAACCTTGTGAGGTGAGGAAAACCACGTATACTCCACCTGCACTCAGGAGTTAATCCTATATCCTACATCTGATGAGTTCGCATTCCAGAACATTTCAGTTCAATCTACAAAGAATGAACTTGGAGAAGACATTGAAGAATGCTGCCTTTTCTAATCTGTGATTGGTATTCTTCTACTGCTTTTATTACTTCTGATGCCAGGAAGTTCCTAATCTAATATTGACCTCTTTACATATTTGTTCTCTTATATAAATGGCCACAAATATATAAAGACTCGATGTGTCCTGTGTCACAGCAAAGACACTGCAGTATTCTTTACTAATTTGCTTATGAATATATAAATATGTAGATGAAAATATGTAGATGAATATGTATATATTGATATTTTAGTATGGAGAGGAATGTTCTTGGAAGCACCAATTTCTTGGGCTGAGCGTTTTGGGAGAAGCTACTCCACACATTTCTGGTTTCCCTAGCTGTTGGATTTGCTTCCAGCATCTGCAGGAATGGATATGCAGGGAATTCCCCCTCATGACCACCTCCAGTATGGGGACAACACTTTCCGGGTCAGCTCTGCCTACGCCTCACTGGAGCCCAGCTTCACACATTAATGGGTGTCATCTGCCATGAAGACATCTGCAGGTGCTAGCCCAGTGCTGAAAGGGTTTGGTGGGTGACTGCACCTACCTCCAGCAGGCTATGGACTGGTTTGAGGCACAGCATGAAGGCCCCATCCCTGTGGTCAGCAGCAATGGCATGAAGTGGTGCTGGGAAAACACTGACATCTCTCGGGGTGATGTGGCTCACCAGGGAAGGACTTGGCCCTGCTCACTCAGTGCAACCACACTATCGTGACCGTTGGCACCTTTGGCTTCTGGGCTGCCTACCTGGCTGGTGGAGACACTGTCTACCTTGCCAACCTCACTCTGCCAGACTCAGGTTCCTGAAGGTCTTCAAGCCTGAGGCTGCCTTCCTGCCTGGGTGGGTGGGCATTAATGCAGACTTGTCTCCAAGGCAGACAGGGGTCTCATCAGGCTAGAGTCAGATAGACATGTCTCCAGAGGCCTGGCAGCTTCTGGAGAAGTCAGAGGTGGTCCCAAAGCAGGTGGTGCCCATGGCCAGAGAGATTCTAGTTGGCCAGAGGTGGAAAGAAGTAGGGGCTTCCTGGAGCTGCCTGAACACCTACAACCAGCAGAACATCTTTTCTGATGGCTGACAGTGCCCAGTGAAGCTCGTGGTGGCTCCAGAAGCCACGGTGCCCACCTGATCATCATTTCCATAGTATTTCTGCATGGCTGCCCCTGAGAACAGGGAACCCTGCCTTCTAGAGTCCTCTCGGCTGGTCTTTTCTAGCAGAGGTGTTACTTCTGCCCTGGTGTTCAGAAGACTGAAGGACCTCGTGGTTGATCTAGAGCAGGCCCTCTTTAGCTCTCCTTCAGGGTTCCTGGACTAATTCCTACTGGGGGTTGTTCTAAGGGAGGGCCAGAAGAACCCTACAGGGACTAGGGGACAACACTTCAGAATTCTATTTAATTCTAGCAAAGAATATGATGAAGAGACTGTCATAGCTCAACAATCAGAAAGATCACGGCGTGGAGACTGCCTCGAGTGAGCAAGCTTCTGTTTGGAGTATGTACTGGGGATTGAGCTCAGATGAACCCTAGGGTTGGCTTGTGCTAGGTGAGAACCAGCCTCTTCCTCTGCTCACAGGCTCTGGAAATGCTGGGGCAGTTATGAGTAGTTATGAGCCAAATCTGTGTACCACCTTGAACCTCAATGAAAGTCACAAAGGATTTTTTTTCCCCTGTAGCAGAGACGAAAACATGGGAGACAGAAGAGGAATAGCTATTGGAGAATGCAGCAGCAACTTCTGTGGCAGAACCTTCCAGCAATCCAGGGAGACTTCTAATCTTCCAAACACAAGATCTGCATCTACTGTCTCTGGGATTAAGATAAAGGAAGTATCCTCTTTTCTAGCTGCATTCTGAGTGTCTGAGGCCTGATTTCTGGAATCCATCAAGTCTGCAGAAAGCCAAAGATTTTGTGCTTCTCGTGAACCATGATGTGTCCCTGAACTCACAGAAACACTAAATCTGGTTTCAAGTAGGTCTGGGATGAAAGGATCTGAAGATACAGAGACCCCTGAATTCATGTTCAACCTAACCCAGGAGCACAGGGTCTGGCCAGAGGGTATGAGACTTTCGAATCAGATTTCAGGAGCTGCTCTTTGGATGGCAAAAAGAGTTCTTCAGATACAGCCATATCTAATCACATCCCCATCCAAAAAGTCCAGGCTCTAGTCTTCTCAGGATTTTCTTTTTTCTTTTTAATATTTTGTTAGTTGTCAATGGACCTTTATTTATTTATTTATATGTGGTACTGAGGATCGAACCCAGTGCCTCACACATTCCAGACACGTTCCCTACTACTGAGCCACAGCCTCAGCCCCCTTCTCAGGGATTTTCAAGGTACCATTACCAGTGTAGTTGCCACAGATGATAGAGTTGAAGGTATGAATTAAATGTCTACATTCCCCAACCCTTGTCTCTGCGGCTTCTTGGCAGAGTGTGTGTGTGTGTGTGTGTGTGTGTGTGTGTGTGTGTTTAAAACACTGGAGGAAAGATGGAAGCTCAGAGAGTTTCAATACTCAGGATATTCTGAGGCATGCTGCCTACTCATGATGTAGGACAAATGAGGCTAGACACCGGAAGAATTTTTCGGGAAGGAGGTTTGTTTAGCCTGCAACTGTTCAGAGGGGCTAATGCCTAAAAATCTTTGGGTCACGAGTCTGGAAATTCTTTTAGATTTGTCCTCAGTGGAGTGGTTACGTGACAGTGGGTACACATATAGCAGTTACTCTTTGTCCCATATTCTTAGGCTTGACAGAGGTTTCACAAATTTTGTCTGCAAACCTGCCATTATTATAAGAGGAGGAAGCCTCAAACTATGTGGATCTCACTACATAACTCCTATGAATTCCTGTTGATGCTCTTTGTGAAAACCTTTCTGATAAGGGAAGCTTGATTACGGTGTGTATGTGGGGGGGGGTCCCCGGAGATGCTTACATGTTACAATTATAGTGCATGTGGGGGGGGAGGGGAAACCTCCTCTGCGAGGAGCCACTCTGAATGACCCACATCTTCCATCCTGAAGCAAGAGGCTCTGACCAATCACTACATTTTGTGGTGACTTGGGCGTTGTCCCAGCCCAGGAAGTAGAAGGCATATCTTACCTATACCTTTGTAATACTATCCCTTTGCCCTGTTTGGGACAGAATGTTCCATGGAAACGCCCTTTGTGTGTTCCCTTCTCTTGCTCTGCCTTTGGGTGTGGCCTTCTAGATGTCAGTGGATCTGCTGACAGCAGACATCAGGAAACTCGACTCAACCCCCTAAACTTGACCCCTTGCCTCATTTGAATGGCTTCTCCTGAATAAAAGGGTTCAGCACGCATCTGCTGTCTTTCTGTGGACCCTTAAGGTCAGAGGAGCCATCAAAGGACCCCAAAGAAAAAGGTATCTCTGTCTCTTGTGTGGTTATTTCCTGGAGCCCACTTCACCTGGAGTGACCCTGAGTATTTTAATCATGAGGAACGCGACACTGGTCTATTTTCACTCAGAACAAGCATCTGTTCGCTACTGAAATTGTGTGAGTTGTTCCTGTGTTTCTGGTGCTCTGAATCACGCAGAAATGTGACAGAGCCTTTGGGGAACCCAAGGGCAGGAGCTTCCGTATTTTACTCTAGCACCCTCATTAGTGGGCCTCAGATCCTCCACGCCATTGAGATCTGGGTTTTCATTTCCCAGAGAAGATGGAATTAGAGTGAGCAAAGAGTATCATCATGACTTCAATTCCCATAAACCTGGGGGCGCCAGTCCCAGAAGAGAAAAAGACCCCAGGGCTTTGGGGCAGTGCTAGTCCTAGGCTAGAAATGGCCGGTTCCCCACATCTGAGGCTGTCAGCGGCACCAAGCCGGAATCCGGGTCCCCAGGACCAAGGAAGGGAGGACACTGAAGGCCAGAAGCCTGATCCTGGGCTCTGAAAGCCACAGCCTGCGGATGCCCTTCCCTAGGGTGGACCCTGGAATAAAGGTCTAGGTAAAGGTCACGCCCCTGTGACGTCATGGAGAGGTAGGCGGGTCTCCCTTTGTTGCGGCCTAATCAAAAGCAAGAGTTGAGATTCTGGGCGGGGCCAAAGAAAGCCCTAGGAAGTACTTTTTTGGAGTTGCCATCTCCAAAGGGGACTTGCCAGGAGTTCCTGGTGGAACCGGGAGCTCCCGTGACACATACCAACTCCGAAAAGCTGTCGACTTCACGCAGCCAAACTGTCCCTCACAAAACCTGAGTTACAGTCGTGGGAAATATTAAGGCAGAAGGACGCGGCACCGGTTCCTCACAGTCTGAATGGGATCCTGAGCGAATCCTGGGTTTGAGGGCACAGGTCAAGGATCAAGGTCGGAGAGGGGCCAGTGAGTTAGGGTGCCTCGCGTTTAGGGCGCTTTGGGGCTCCGTTTCCTGAGAAGGTGCACCCTGAAAATAAGAGGTCGTAGCCTTGGGCAAGGGTGGACAGTAGGGACAGGAGGGTGGCTGGGAGTCTTGCATACATTCGTGGGGTCCCCAGGGTAAGGGATCTGGAGTGGACTTTGGTCTTGAGGGAGTTTTGAGAACATGAGGGAGAGTTCATTTGAGCTGGACAAGGACTTTTCAGCCTGAGGTGCAACAGGGTTTGGGGCTTTGTGTATGTGAGGGTTGACACACTTAAGGTTTGGAGTTGAGGATCACGTTAATTCGGGCGGGGGCGGGAGCTGTGGATCCCATGGATTGGGAGCTTGGAGAGTCTGCACGGGTTGGGGATCTTGGGTCCTGATGTGGGGAACGGTTGAGAGTGTTCTGATGTCTCAGGATGCAATGAAGACCCTCAATTTGGGGCTTTGTGGATTGGGGATTAATTTCACACTCGAGTTATTTGATGAAGGACACATGTCTTCTTGGTTTGGAGATTTCCTGAACATTCTCCTTTCCCATGGGGGAGACTGAGGATGTGAGGTCCTGGGGGGCATCTCTAAGACAGGCTTTGATTTCTCTCCATTTAGCACCACCTGCTCTTGACCTGGGTGAGAGGACCCTCCTGGTGTTTCCTCTACTGAGTGCTCTGGCTCAATGGGGCTGTGTTTTGCCCTCCCATTGGCTGCACTGGCCAGCTGCCTGCTTCCTGCGGACTGTTGTGTAATATGTGACCAGGCAGTCTTGACAGCACTAAAGTCCTTGAAAGAGAATTACCTACCTGAACACCTGGATATCAAGAGTCACAAAACAGTGATGGAAAGAGCAGAGCAGATCATAGTGGAATTCAAGGATCTTCCGATGAAGGATGGTTCCTTTTTGGGGGCCATAGGTGAGGGCGAGACAGAGTTGAAGTACTAGGGATTATATGGACAGGGTCCAGGAGTGCAGGTGACAGGGGGGTGGGGGGTGAAGGGGCTGAGTCCTGAACTTGGGAATGAAAAAGCTGGGATGCAGATTCCAGAGATCCCGGCAACTAGCAATATTGTTTTTCTGCCCCTTATCTAGCAATTTTATGTAATAAAACAACAACTCTTTGAAAGTAAGGGTGCAGTTGGTTCCTTAACTAGTTCTAGGCTTGCTTGGCGGACTCATGGCTATTCTACTTTGTACAAAGAAAATCTAAGACAGCAAAGGTGGAACATGGGGTTCTATATCCATTCACAGATGAGAAGACACTGGAAAAGGCATCTCAGAGTGTGGTGAAGGCGATGAAACACATCACAGACAGTAATGTAAAAGGTTAATGCACTGAAGAGCTGGGAGGGGGGTCCTGAATTTATTACTATCAGTGATGCCTCTCTACTGGTGTGATGCAGGATTTCCTAGGTTCAAATTCTGGCTCTGCCACTTCCTACCTATGTGGCCCTGAGCAAGAAACTGGGCAGTTTCCTCAGCTCTACACTGGACAGCATCACAGTGCCCTCCTCCCTCAGCTCCTGGGAGGATTAGATGGATTGATTCCTGTGCATTGCTTAGCCCAGTGACTGGCACTGTGTGAAGTACTTGATTTCTGTGCCCCTTCCTGAGAAGGCAGAAAGGGGAATGCCAGCCCTCCAGGTAGCTCGAGCCCCATAGTCCATGGTGCTCTGAGGAAGGAGGATCCCTTGAATCCAGAAGAGCCTGTCCCACCCCAGCAACAACCCAGTAGTGAAATGCCTGCCTAGGTAGACTGTGTCTGATCCTGCACCTGCTGCCTGGGGCAAGGAGAGCACTCAGCACCACCCTGCTTCCTCCCAGGGGACCAATTTGTGAAGCAGCTATACCAGATGTTGGAGAAGGAAAAGGCCAAATTTGCCCAGTATGCTGCTCAGTTCCAGAAGAAAGGTGAGGGAAGATGGGAGCCCTGGCCTGGCCTACTCCATTCCCCTTCTACCACTTGAGCCCCTCTCTCCAGCCCCCTGCGTCTCCAGGCTTCCTCAGTCCCCTCCTCCTGTTGATCCCTGGTGGGGGCGGGGGGAGGGACTTCTCAGGCCCTTCCCCTGGGAACACAAGAACCCGCACCTCAGCTCTTCCCCAGCCCCTCTCCCACCCTTCTTCATTTAAAAATCTGATTCTTTTCTCCCTATCTTTTCTTTCTGAGGCAGATTATTGTCCCAACAAATGTGGTGAGTGCAGACAACAGAAGCTATTCTTCTACCCTCATCATGGCCCATGATACCCACTACTCTCCCTCCCCCTTTTGGATGCACATTCGCAGCATCTGAGAGGTTCCTGGGTCTCCGGCCACCATTCTCTGACTTGGATTAGCAGGTGTATTCCGTTTGGACCCTTTACTAACCTTGGAGGGATGACCTCCTAGGGATTTGGCCCAATAGCCCCCAAGCCCTTCAGTCCTTTGCCTTGCCCTCTCTTTCAGACCTACCTTAGTGGGTGAATACAGCCTTGACCTTGCCCCTCCAGGCGTCATGATGCAGCGTCTATTATGGTGTCCAGATTGTAACTTGGGGGTTTATATTTGCTGGAAGTCCCTGGACTGTGGGCGTGAGTATGGGACCTGACTGGAGGGGTTGGTGGGAGAGGGATGGGGCCAGAAGAGAGACAGTCCAGAGAGCTCAGAATGCAGACAGGAGGCAGGGAAGGGCCTGGCCCAAATAGAGCTGAGACTGTTTGGGGAGGGCAGTGACCCCAAAGGAAGCATCTCACAGTCATGCCCCATCCTCAGAGCGCCTGGTGAAGATCCATGAAAAGGAAAACCTGACCTTGAACTGTCTATTCGAATGGCATCCTCTTTCTGTAGGCCTCACAGACTACCAGTTTTACAGGGTGAGGCCCTTCCAACTCCTTTAACCCTTAAACCCCAAGTCCCTCAGGTGGGTATGAGCCCTTGGCCCCTGGATGCCCTGGCCTGCCCCTAGTCCTCATGGCCT